ACATCATTTCGGTTTTTGATGTGAATCTTACTACACTAGACCGTATTTACTCGTCTGGTTGTTTGATTGCATTTAATTCTGAGGAATAAAATTAAGTATTTGTCTGATTATGAGAAGTTAGATATACAGGGGCTCTTAGGATATAAATTTCTCGAGTGAGAGCACGCATTAACCTCTCTTCCTCTGAGGAGGTTGAGGCTGTTAGCAGGGGCTGCTGGGCAGAGCAGTCCCAACCTACCATGTTCCAGCCCCTCATTCTGGGGGCCTCACTTATCTTACTCCGCAGAGTCTAGAGTCAGAGTGGCGCTCCCAGGCCAAAGGCTTCTAGCAGAAGACGGGTCTGCGGACCGTCGTTCTCGCTGGATAGTCTTCGTCGTAAACGTTCTGACGCCTGAGGCCTAGGACTGTTTTAGGGCCAGCTCCCTCTGGGGAAGAGCGGTGTACACTGCATTACACGGTGCCCGTCTCTCCTCAGTGCCCTCAGGAGGTCGATTTGCCAACCCTACCGTGTTCCAGGGCACAGCGGTCTCCGGCGAGCGCTTCTCTCAGTTACCGCCCGGAAACGTAGCGGTACTAAGAGGCTTGCTACCTCTACGGAGGTATTTAGATGGGCTGTGGTCTAGTCTTCCTAGCAGACGACGTGGGTCTGAGGGCCGTCGTTTTCAATAGGAGACTTCAGCTATGAGGGTACTGATGCTGTGGCTCAGGACCTCGAAGGGCAGGCCCCCCTGCGGAAGAGAGGTTCACACCGCATTAACCCTGCCATGTTCCAGGGCGCAGAGGTCTCCGGCGAGCGCTTCTCTCAGTTACCGCCCGGAAACGTAGCGGTACTAAGAGGCTCGCTACCTCTACGGAGGTATCATGAGCAGCTGGCCATGTTTCGAGTTCTGAAAGACTTTCTCCCAGACCCAAGAGGTCACCATGTGTTGGTTCGCGCCGACGACACAGCGGTGGTCTCTTACATCAACCACCAGGGAGTTCTGCATTCGCGCCCTTTGTTCAAGCTGGCGCACCAGATACTTGTGTGGTTCCAGGGCAAACTCCTCTCGCTGAGAGCAGTTCACGTTCCTGGGCATCTCAATATGGGAGCAGACATCCTTTCGAGGCAGGGGCTGAGGCCCGGGAACATGTTCTGTTACACCAAATAATGATCTTTAAAATAGAATCATATGACCCCTTTAAAAAAAAGCAGTAGTATATGCACAGTAGACATGCAAGGTAGTCAAGCACATTTAACATAAATAAACATTTTAAAATGCCGAAAACCTAGTAACTCAGAACTGGCATGCTAAATGGAGTATTGCACTTTGCAAATGTAATAATTTTGATGTATTTGTAGCATGATTTGCCTAGTTACTTGAGTGCTAAATAAACGCTAAATCTGCTGGTTCAATCCCCTTTTAGTCCTAACACACATAAACAGAAGTTTCAGTTGTCAAAAGGTTTTAAAGGCTTTGATGTGTTAAGCAGCTCTTAAACTAAGTCAATCTAAACCCGCTGGCTCACTTCCTCTCAAAACTGACATCCGTCTGTGAAGCCCTTGGGGAAGAGCCTCAGAGTACGGTGGCTGATAAAGAGAAAGCATATGTCAACCATTACAAGTCATCCTGCGGCCCTGTGCTATACGCTAGCAGCAACAATGCTGCAACAAGCCTGAAGCGGAACAAGATTCAGAGTTGCAGAGGTCAGCTATAGCGTTTGTTTAGTTGCAACCTGCATTACCTCTCATCGGAGCTTGTTATCCCATCAAAACATAAAAATAATCGGCGATATTTCTAAAAAAAATAATAGCTGCTCATCATGGCTAGTGACTGACATCGGCTGGTGACAGGTGACAGCGACTGCTTCTTAATGACCCGCACAGGAGGTGGTGACAGTGCCCTGCAATTCAACACATTATCAATTACCACCCAAAATAAGTACAAATGCTTCACATGTTACATGCATTCATCATTATGCAGACAAAACCTGAAATCTGTTACTGTCTAACAGCTGAAGGAACTCATGTCGGAGGAGAGAACTGATATGAGGGCTAATTTAACGAGCAGATGTGTTCATCTGACAGCATGTGGCATATGGTAAATAAACAGACGGATTTTTTTTTTTTTTTAACATGTTGGTTTGAATGTGAAAAGCAGCCTGACACCTGTCGCTCGTTTATTCATACAGCACAGAATAAGCATCTTCGAACATGCAATTATCAGTGAGATCTGTTTTACACATAAATCATCCTTTGGTATGGATTTTATTAAAATGATTCAATTACAGTGAGCCACAGATGCACTGAAACAGTTTAAAATAATTAAATGGGTAAAATGAATGGATGAAAATGAATGAAAAATGATATATTTTTTAGTTAATGTTAATAATGAATACATAATTATACCACATTCTATCACTATTAATTAATAATATATTATGTTCATTTAACTTGAAATTACTAAATGTATCCGGTTACTCTCCTGTTCAAAAGTTTGAGGTCGGAAAGATTTGTAAATGTTTCAATTATTATTATTATTATTTTTAATGCAATAAGTCTCTTGTATTCACACCAAGGCTGCATTTATTTGATCAAAAATATAGTAAAAACAGTAAAATATTATGAGAATTTAAAATAATTATTTTCTATTTGAATATATTTTAACATTTAATTTATTTCTATGATGCAAAGCTGAATTTTCAGCATCATTACTCCTATTTCTAATATGCTGATTTGCTGCTCAAGAAATATTTATTATTATCAATGTTGAACAATATGAAATACTTTTGTTTCAGGATTATTTGATGAACAGTTCGAATAGGAAGCATTTATTTGAAATATATATTTTTTTACATTATCATTTTAATATTATAAATGTTGTTATTCTCCCTATTGATCAATTTAATGCATTCTTGCTGAATAAAAGTATGCATTTTCATAAAAAAATATTACCAACTCCAAAATTACAAATATATTTACTGTCACTTTGCTGAAAGAAAAGTATTAAGTATTTCTTTGACTTATTCTTAAAGTATTTCTATTAAAAAATAATAATAAAAAAGTTCCGACCCCACACTTTTAAAGAGTCGTGCATGTAGAAATTAACATGAACTTAAATTAACAAATGCTGTAAAAGTTGATAGATCATAACACTAAAGCATTATCTAACAAACTGAATGCTACATGCAATAAAACAAACATTACATTTTTCTTACATTTACACGACACAATAGGATGACTGGGATAAATAAAATCTAGTGCTCTTGTACCTTCAATTTATTATCAGCAGATTCGTCCTGTGCAGTGGTACAGATGGAAGTTGGTTTACGGTTTCTCCTTGCATCTCATATTTGTAGGTTGCTTTCAATAAACGTGTGACCTAAATTAATGAATTCAAATGTAAGTTGTTAGAGAAGGAACACAGCTCACACGTAAAGGATACTGACTGTGCATCAAAACATGCAACACTAATTACAATCGCACTAATACAATGATTGCAGTGCCTGAACAGCTGCTCAACAAATCACCTCGTGGTTGTGTGTCTTGTTTTAGCTGTTCTCTGGGCACAAATTAGTAAAATTAATCTGACGAAACATTCATTTGGAGACATTCTCAAAGGTGAAAACGATTAATAAATCACATTTTTTTGTATTTTGTACTTTAAGTCAAAGCAAAGTCAGGGTAAGTCTGTAGCAATTATAATTAGCTTAATTTCTTCCTCACTTAACATATTATAGACATCCACCTGAGTAAATATGCATGTTTTAGGACATCTTCAGGTTTGGACTAAATGACAAATGCACACACACAAACCTCATTGTGCTTTGCTGATAACTTTTTAAATGCATCCTGTAATTAATTCGCACAGCTGGAAGAGACGGTTTACTTACAGACAAGACCAAACAGCTCCGTGTCAACAAAAGCTGCAGGTCACAGAGTGTCTGTGTGTTAGATAAAGGTCTGTATGAGTGCTCTCACCTCGCTGAAGCTCTCATTCAGTGAAGGGAATCCTATCGATCATATCAATCCATTTGGAAAGCTCAGCTGGTGGGTAAGAGGTTCCCAGCATGAGCCTGGAGAATATTTGTCCATGCACTTCACTAATTCATATTGTGATCAGAGACATAGACTTGCATGCAAGGTTACCAGCGTGACGGAAAAAATAATGAGAAATTCTGTTGTAGATCAGGGAACACGGACAGCATGAGAATTCATTAAACACTCAATTTGTTATGATATAGGTATGACCAAAGCTGTGCCCAGATACGGGAGGGAGGGATGGATGGATGGATGGACGGAGCCAAGTAAAATATGTTCCTGGATCAACATTACGGTCCAAAAATATAGACTAAACTTAATACCTACCCATAATTTATTCCTAAAATCAGTGTGAAATGATAGAAGCACCTAACCCTGATCAGAAGCCTAAAACAGACATTTCCTGAAAAGTTATCCCTCAATTCTGATTGGTTAATTGGAATGTTGTTCCAGGATAAACAAGGACGTTGATCCAGGAACATGTTGTACTTGGTGAAATCACGGTCCAGACAGACAGAAAAGTCACCCACTTTAAAATAATCATATTTTGTTTCTTTGCAGCCTGAAATGAAGATGGACACAGTTTTTGTTTTATCCAGCTGTATTTACTCAGTGCAACTTATAACTTCGAAGTGAAAAAAGAACAACGTTCGGGGAAAAAAAATAAAAATAAATAACAGAATCACTGAGTTGGAAAAAGGATCACCCCCTTGTGGCAGTATTTTGTTGAACGGAACACCCCCTTGTGGCAGTATTTTGTTGAACAACCTTTTGCTTTAATTACAGCCTTCAGTCTGTTGGGATTTATCTCTGTCTCTACTAACTTTGCACATTCAGACTTTGCAATACTTGCCCACTCTTCTTTGCAGAACTGCTCAAGTTCAGTTCAACTTGATGGTGAGCGTTTGTGGACTGCAGTCTTCAAGTCATTCCACAGATTTTCAGTGGGGTTTAAGTCTGGTTTCTGAGTAGGTCATGCATTCACCTTTTTCTCCTTCAAACACGGTGTCAGTTTAGTTGTGTGCTTTGGGTCATTGTGATGTTGGAAGGTAAACCTTCTTTCTATTGACAACTTTCTGGCAGAGGGCAGCAGATTTTTCTCAAGAGTTTGATGGTATTTTGCTCCATCCATTTTCCCTTCTATCCTGACAAGTGCTCCAGTCCCTGCTGCAGAGAAACACCTCATAACAGGATATGACCTCCTCCATATTTTACTGCAGGAATGCTGTTATTTGGATGGTGAGCTGTATTGGATTTGCGTCAGATGTATCGTTTGGTGTTGAGGCCAAATAATTCAATTTTAGTCTCACCTGCCTCAGAATCTTAAGGTGCGTTTTGTCAAAGCTCAGTCGTGACTGCATGTGGTCTTTCTTGAGGAGTGACTTTTTCTTGCAACCCTCCCAAACAAGCCACATTTGTGGAGAATTTGTGATATTGTTGTCACATGCACACAATGACCACTCTTTGTCATAAATTCCTGCAGCTGCTTCAGAGTTCCTGAAGGCCTCTTGGTCGCCTCTCTGACCAGTTTCCGCGGCTCTTTCATCCAGTTTGGATTGACGTCCTGATCCAGGGAGGGTCTGTGTTGTACCAAATACCTTCCACTTCTTAATAATAGACTTCACGGTGCTTCTAGGGATTGATAAAGTCTTTAATTTTTTTCTCCTGACTTGTGCCCGTCCACAACTTTATCCCGGAGATCTTTTGACAGTGTCTTGCCACCCATAGTTGATTGTTTGCTTCAGTTGCACTACCAAAGACTGAAATGCTCCAGGAAAGCTCTTTTCATGCTGAGCTAATCAAAATGAGCACAGCTGATCACGGTTGAAAGTCTGACTTTGTGTGCCATTAAGATGATTAGCTACACCCGAGTTTACAAGTAATGTTTAGGAGGAGGGTGATTCTTTTTCCAACTCAGTGATTGTTTTTAGCTTTTTTTTCTCGGACATGTTGGTGTTATATCTTTCACTTGGATGTTATAAGTTGCACTGAGTAAATACAGCTGGATAAAACAAAAACTGTGTCCATCTTCATTTCATGCTGCAAAGCAACACAATGTGATTATTTTAAACAGGGGTGATTCTTTTCTATACCCACTGTAGATAGACAATGACAGACAGATTGATCGATCTTAATCCTACAACTTTCTAACTTAAAGGCTTTTTTGTAACCTTTTGTAACCTTTTTTGTAACCTTAACCAGTATATATATATATATATATATATATATATATATATATATATATATATATATACTGTATATATACATACACATACAAATACATACAGTATATTGTCTGAGTGGACATTAAACGCAGAGAATGTCTCTGGGGCTACTTTCATCTCTATTTCAACCAGACAGAAAGTGACACTATAATAAACTTCAAATATTTTACGTTACACAGATTGTAAATTAGTATAGCAACCTTCCTCCTCACTTCTTGCTTTTATGACTATGGCCATGTGATAGTTGTTCTTGCAGACTGCTATAGTATAGCTCCATTCTCGAGGGACCAAAGTGGTTCCATACCAGTCGAGCAGCTAACAACCGTTCCAAATTTCCAGTGAAGAAACCTATTAAGGGCAAGTCATGCATAGTTGATTGAGCGTCTCGTGCGAGGGGCCGGTACGACGGTGGGATTGCTCAGAGGAACTGATACACTCTCCCACTGTGGATGAGTCTCGCTCATTTCTGGGTCAGTCGGCGCACAGTTCTTTCCTGCTAGTCATTTACAGAGGACGTGGAACAGGAATCCGTAACATCTTTGTAGGGCAGGATGTCAGAACATGTTGACTATTCTGCTGGGAGAAAAATAAAAATATTCACTCTTCATAAAATATATAATTGGGTGCATAATGGATGGATGGACAGACTGGTGGGTGGAGAGATGGATAGTCAGATGGATGGAGGTCAACGTAAAGGTGGATGGAGGGATAGAAAAATGGACAGGTGGATGGATGGAGGGATAGATAGATCAGTGTAGGCAGATAGAACAATAGATAGCTAAATAATGACTGAACTACAAACAGAAAGATCGATGTGCAGAATGACAGAACAATAGACAGAACAATTGAGTGATGCATCCACCCATAGAAAAAAATGACAGAAGAAAAGTTAAACGATCACACAATAGAAAGAATAGAAAGAACAAACAAATGACAGAAAGAGTAATAAAACAATAGATAGTGATCAAACCACAGATAGAACGATAGACAGAATCACAGAGAACCACTGAATGATCAAAGATAGAATGATCAAACAAACGACAGACAGACGGACAGACAGACAGACAGACAGACAGACAGACAGACAGACAGACAGACAGACAGATAGACAGATAGATAGATAGATAGATAGATAGATAGATAGATAGATAGATAGATAGATAGATAGATAGATAGATAGATAGATAGATGGACGGGCGGACGGACGGACGGATGGATGGATGGATGGAATGGACAATAGAATGAACAAACTAGCAAAAGAGATAGATAGATAGATAGATAGATAGATAGATAGATAGATAGATAGATAGATAGATAGATAGATAGATAGATAGATAGATGGACGGGCGGACGGACGGACGGACGGATGGATGGATGGAATGGACAATAGAATGAACAAACTAGCAAAAGACAAACACAGAACTATCCAACCATAGATAGAACGTTAGAATGATTTAACGATCGAGTGATAGATTGATGAATAGAAAGAACATTGAAACAATCAAACAATGATAGAACGATAGAACAAACTAAATAAAAAAATGATAGAAAGAGCAATAAAATGATAGAATGCTGAAACGATGGAAGGATGGACAGAAAGATATAATGATGAAATGATAAACAGACATAGACAGGCAGAACTACAGATAGAAACAGAGACAGACAGACAGAACAAATGATGAACGACAGATAGAACGAACAATAAAATGATAGACAGAATGCTCAGACGATACATAGAATGAGGGAATCCAAGAGAGAATGATCAAACCATTGACAGAACGATAGAAACAATAGAAAGAACGATAGAACTACAGAACAGTAGATAGAAAGGCAGAATTAAAGAAAGAACAATAGAAAAAATAGAGATAAAACAATAGAATGAACGAAATAATGAAAGCTAGAAGTTAGAAAAATAGAAAGAACCAAAAGAAAAATATATAGAACAATAGATACAATGACAGAAAGAACGATAGAAAGATCAACAGAAGGATAGAAAGAACCGTAAAAGAATGATCTAAAGATACACAGAATATCAGAACGATCAAACCATGGGCAGAACGATAAAAACAACAGAAAGAATGATAGAAAGATCGAACCATATAGATAGAACTACAGAATGATAGATAGAATGACAGACAGATAGATAGAATGATAAAAAATAATAGAAAGAACGATAGAAAGAGTGATGCAATGAACGACAGATTTTGATTGACTCCTAGAGGACTTGACCTCAATCCACCTCCAAATTCTGACCTTTGACCCTTTCCTCTTCTGCCCTTCCTCTCTCAGCTCCATCACGCTGTCAGTGGAGGGCTGTTATTTGAGTGGTGCGCGGACGGGACGCTCTGCCAAGGACAGCAGCTCAGGAGTGGCACAGCACCCGCTCAAGCATGAAATCACCTCTCCTCACTTTAAAGGGCTAACATGGTTTTTTAATGACGAGCCAATATCTTTCATACACAAAATATGCTCAATGGCTCCATTCTTTTTAATGCATATTTAAAGCTGGTAGGGGGTGCAGGCCCGTAACAAGATTAATGGCACGATCACACTGAGACGCTGAGTCTGGGCTCTGCCTGATTACATTTAAAACCTTTTAAAGAGCTCGGGACTTTCTTAATAAAACCACTGCTTTTGATGAATCTCGGAATAAACAGTGTCTGTGCTTTACATTAGCTACACGCTTTAGTGAATAGGACTTCAGCTCATTTGTGGTGGAGAAATTGAACACAGCCATGGTAAGTAAGTAAAGCAGAATGCATTGAACCACAAATACTCACTTACAAACACTAAACTGGTATCACCGCAGTAGTGGACCTTACAATGACAGTAAATAGTAGAGGTCTACAAATAGTCAATGTTATTGCAGATATTGATATAAAAGGTAATTGCGATTTTTTTTTCATCTCACAATTCAAACTTTTTTCCCCCTTCGCAATTCTTTATTTCTCACAATTCAGACTTTTTTTTCCTTCAGAAAATTATTTTTTGGCCACATAATTGCGAAATCTGACTTTCTTTTTTCATAATTTTGTGTTTATATCCCGGTTCTGACTTTTTTCACTGCATTATTTTACATCTCGCACTTCAGTTTTTTTTTCTGCCACAGAATAAAAAAAAAAAAAAAGGTAATTTTATCTCACAATTCTAACTTTTCCTTGCATTTTTTTTCTCCGAATATATCTCACAATTCAAGCTTTTTTTAAATTCATAATTCATTTTGTCTCATAATTGCAAGACATATTCTTAGAATTCTAAGATATAAACTTCTATAGAATTCGGACTTTCTCATAATTCTGAGTTTATATCGCAGTTCTGAATTTTTCTCAGAATTCTGAGTTTGCAACGGAATAAAAAAATAAAAAGGTAATTGATACTTTTTAACTCTCAATTCTGACTTTTCCTTGCAATTATGAATTAACATATTAGTTAACAATTCTGACTTTTTTCACAGAATTGTGAGTTTATATCTTGTAATTTTGCGAATCTCACAATTCTGAGTTTATAAAACTTTTTTCTGAGAAAAAAAGGCCAAATTGTGAGAAAATAAAAACTGAATTAAATAAATATAAAAAGTTGCAGTTACCTTTTTTATCCTGCTTAAACTTCCATATGATGCGGAAAAATAATCAAATACATACATACATTTTTAATTAATCTTTTAAATATTACATTTATAATGTTTAATACTATTTCTAAATAAAAATTGTATTATTGAAAATTAAATGACAATTTTACAATTGTACAACAATTTTATTAAATTCTTAGACCCCCTTGTACAAAAAGCATTGATTACAAATCAAAATATAAATTATATGTAGACAGTAGTTGCTCTGAATATTGAGATGTACAAAAAATATATATTTTTTTTTTTACAAAAATCTCTCAAAATTCACTCGAAAATATTTCTATAATAGAAATGTGATATTTGCCAATGTTGAAAATGGCCAAAATAATAATAATTATATGTGGGCTTGTCCACTTTAAAAGCATATCACTTCAATACCAGTATTGCATCCATCCTGCAGGTCATACCTTAGCTGAAGGTAAAGCTTGTCTTGAGGAAAGCTTTGCTTTCAATTACCTTTAATAATTAAGATGCAGCCTTCTCAAGGTTTCCATATAATAAATTGCCTGTTCATCTCTGCCTTTACACTTAATCCTGTTTCTTGTTTTGCTCTCTTATAAACTCATGCTTAATCAGAGCAATCCCTCAGCCCAGAGGGCCGAGCTGACCGGCACAAACAGTACATTCACATTCTTGACAAAACATGACGACTTCTGACTGTGCCGTAATGGATCTAATGGAGCTCCCCTGTTGCTCTCTTGCCTGACTGTGCCAATGATGGACATTGTTGTTGTGTGACAATACATGACCCACTGGAGCGCAGGGGTCTGTGCTCCGATAGATGGAGAATTACAGCTATGACTCAGCTGTAATTAAAAGCACTTTTTCGAGACACCTGCTAGTGGTTTTTGATGGTGAGTCTAATAAGGTTAGATGGAGCATTTTTCTGTTCAGAAATTTCAGACAATACTATTGTTTTGCAATATAGACATACACGATTTATTTTTGATTCGATCAATTCATCTATTTCCTGTATCGGGTCGTTGGCTCTGTATAGAGGTGTTTCATGATTCATGCTTGAACAAGACAAGAGATATTTAATATACCCAGAAAAGCACACAGATTATATATAAGGAGTTTTCCTAAAATGGATTTAGAATCAACTATCAGTACAGAAACTAACTTGCCAACAAGAGAACTAATACGAACAAAAAAAGGAACATTCTAAGATTTCACTCACTAGAGCCACACTGTTCCAAATTCGAACCAGTACATGATGCTTTATAGCAGTGAAAAAAAAAAAAAAAATATATATATATATATTTTTTTTTATTGTTTTTTTTTTTTGACAAGACTCTTATAAATTAAGCAATGCACACTGTTATCACACTAATTAAAGCACCCTTTTATGGAAGCCCGTTTCCGCCACTGAATAAAAAATAAAAAAGGTAATTGCGACTTTTTATCTCGCAATTCTGAATTTTTTTCTCAGAATTGCGTGATACAAACTCACAATTCTGACTTTTTTTCTCAGAATTGTGTGATATAGGCCCTAAACTCGCAATTGTGAGTTAAAACAGAGCCAGCCATACTGCTTGCAACTCGAGGCAGTTGATATGCCACTGCAGTCGGGGCTGCATTCCCACTGCACATGGCACCCCAGCCGGCATTGGCTTGTTTAGTTAACACTCGAAGGGGATTGGGCTCTCGGCGAGATCCCAATTCGTCAGTCACTGACGTAACGTAGAACGTGACTGACTGAATGGGAACTGCGAGATATAAACTCACAATTCTGACTTTTTTTTCCTCAGAATTGCGAGTTTATATCTCGCAATTCTGACTTTATAACACGCACTTGTGAGTTATAGAGTCAGAATTGTGAGATATAAACTCACAATTCTGAGAACATATCAGTCTTTTCAACCCGATATCATGAAAGTGCGTATAAATAGCAGAATTGCGAGTTTATATCTCGCAATTCTGACTTTATAACACGCACTTGTGA